CCTCTTGTATGCAATAGAGAACCGCACAGTTTAAAGTATGAATGATAGATGTACATCGTCAAAGTCAATTGTGGATCTTTTACTAGCTTCTACGAAAGGTGAGGTGGATGAAAATGCTGAGTGCACTTCCTCTAGTATAATAGCTGCCAAAGTTGTGAGGGTAGATCTATTTGAGAAAGGTAAGTGGCTCCCTGTACTTCAGAAGAAGAAGAATGTTGAGGAATTTGGGATATCTAGGGCTTGTGCTAATGAGGAAATTGGAACTAGTACTGGTAGTAGGTATTCTAGGTTATGCAATATTTGTGGCCGTTCAGAAACAGCACAAAAGATGCTAATCTGTGACAGTTGTGAAGAGGCATTTCGTATGCGTTGCTGCAAGCCCAAGGTAAAGAAAATACCTGTTGATGAGTGGTATTGTATTTTGTGTATGAAAAAGAAGCAGATAATGCTCAAGGAGATAATTGCAAGAAGGCCTTCTAGTATCACCGGTGGAATGGGTAGAGAGAGAGATGTATCATCTAAATGGGAAGTCAGTCCAATAGAATTAATGTTGAGAGATGCTGAGTCTTATAGAACTAGTGTTCGAATTGGCAAAGGTTTTCAAACTTCCAGACTATTCTGGTCCAATTGATAAGTATGTTCCATGAACTATTTATTTTTGAGAAAATCGCCTCAGTGACCAAAAATACCTTATAATATACGATTTTAACCAACTTTTTTTGAATTTGCCAAAATGACCAATAAAATCGCAACGCGATATCAAAATCGCAACGCGATTTAGAAAATCGCAACGTTAAAAAGAAAATCGCAACGGTCAAAAGAAAATTGCAACGCGAGCTTCCAAGTTCGCAACGCGATTTAGAAGAAAATCACAATGCGATTGATAGAATCGCAATGCGATTTATAGAATCGCAATGCGATTGAGAGAGTCGCAACGTGATTTAGAAGAAAATCGCAATGCGACTGAGAGAATCGCAATGCGACTGAGAGAATCGCAGCGCGATTTATAGAATCGCAGCGCGATTTATAGAATCGCAGCGCGATTTATAGAATCGCAGCGCGATTTATAGAATCGCAGCGCGATTTATAGAATCGCAATGCGATTGAGAGAATCGCAACGTTAAAAAGAAAATCGCAACGGTCAAAAGAATAGTTAAAAAAATTTTGTTTCTTAAGAATTTTCTCTAAAAAGATAGTATCCGCGCGGACGTGTCGAAGACACGTATTACCACGACCACGACCACGACCACGACCACGACCACGACGAAAAATATCGTTGGAATTGACTAGGAAGGTTGAAAGGAATAAAGAGGGGTTTCTTGATTAGTGGAAGTAATGAGAGTGCTTAAGAAAATACCCAGATTGTTGTTGTGAATAAATAAAAGTAAATTGTTGATGGAGACTTCAATGAAGCCAGCCTAGTTATGTATCTAACCTTGGAAGACAAAGATTCTTTTTGATTGGATGCCTGGTATCAAAATTTGGCAGATGTCTTCTAGATGTGATGACACTTCTCTTCTGAGGATGCAAAGTGGCTGAGTGCTCATGCCCTCCTTTACCAAGATCTGGTTCTCAGCGGTTATCTGTGAGTTTCTGTCCAAATCCCTGTCCCTGCTTTTGTTTCCAGTAGGAGGAAGAAACGGCAAGGCAGCAGTGGCAATGGTAGTTTTCTGTTGCCAACTGTTGTGCAGAGGCCCCAGTGAATTCCAAGAAGTGAGATTGTTTTCTTTGTCAGTTCGGATGCTCTTTCAGTGGCAACATGGAGCGAATGGAGTTTTCTCACGTTGAACATAGAAATGTAGCTGTGGAGATACTGCGAAGCCTCTTGTATGCAATAGAGAACCGCACAGTTTAAAGTATGAATGATAGAGGTACATCGTCAAGTCAATTTGGATCTTTTACTAGCTTCTACGAAAGGTGAGTGGAAAAAATGCTGAGTGCACTTCCTCTAGTAATAATAGCTGCCAAAGTTGTGAGGGTAGATCTATTTGAGAAAGGTAAGTGGCTCCCTGCTTCAGAAGAAGAAGAATGTTGAGGAATTTGGGATATCTAGGGCTTGTGCTAATGAAATTGGAACTAGTACTGGTAGTAGGGTATTCTAGGTTATGCATTTTGGCCGTTCAGAAACAGCACAAAAGATGCTAATCTGTGACAGTTGTGAAGAGGCATTTCGTATGCGTTGCTGCAAGCCCAAGGTAAAGAAAATACCTGTTGAGTGGTATTGTATTTTGTGTATGAAAAAGAAGCAGATAATGCTCAAGGAGATAATTGCAAGAAGGCCTTCTAGTATCACCGGTGGAATGGTAGAGAGAGAGATGTATCATCTAAATGGGAAGTCAGTCCAATAGAATTAATGTTGAGAGATGCTGAGAGTCTTATAGAACTAGTGTTCGAATTGGCAAAGGTTTTCAAACTTCCAGACTATTCTGGTCCAATTGATAAGTATGTTCATGAACTATTTATTTTAAGTTATTTGTCTATAGGATTGCATGGATTTAGATGCTCTCTAATTTTGTGCGTACCAGAACATAGAGGATGATGCACTTCTCTGTTTGAGGTTGTATTTATGTTGTCATGTTCCCAAATACTTTTACCTAGGCTTCCTTTGTGACAGATGAAAATCTGCTTGAAACAATGCAGTCGAAAGTACTGTTTGATGCCTTTAGATATGAGGAGTTTAAGGAGAGATTGCTAAGAGGTTATATTTTAATGATTGTGGAACATTTTATCATTTTTTGTAAGAAAGGTCCTAGGTACAGATTCCGTCTTGAGTTAGAGAGAAGCCAAATTTGGGAGGTTAGATAAGTTCCAGGGAAGAGATAAAAGAAATTGACTTTAGGAACAGGCTAATTGCATCGACCTTGAAGATAGCGATGATGCCAACCATCTTTCTTTCTATTACACTGATAGGATTCTTTGATCATTGTCATGTTGCAGTCTAATTGTTTAAGGTTGCATGCAACAATGGCAAAAGAAATTCTGCCTTTATTTCAGAACAGATTATCACTGTTGATGTGATCTTGCTTAAGTGACTTTTTTTACTGAAGAAGTCAGAATTAGATTTTCAATTTATGATATTTAGTCAGAAACTGTTATGCGTCCCTTATAATAATGTAGTCGAGTCTCTCATTTACCTTCCATGGCTGAGATTTTCTACAAGTGCCTATGTTATTTTAATGAGTTAACAGTTATTTATCTGATTGGAAGGGGTCTGCTTTAGCTACCACTTTGTTTTGGAGTCCCTACGTTCATAATTCTTGGGCGAAATAGAACTGATAATTTTCAGCTTATGGAAAGTTAGTCTTTTGGAAAAAATTAGTAGCCATTGTGTGCTTTCTTGATCCAAGTATTGTCCTTCATATATAGTTCAGCTTTGGAAAAGTTAATCTTTTTGGAAAAAAAATTAGGTGTTATTGCGTCCTTTCTTAATCCACAAGTGTGTCTTTCATAAATACCTTCTTTTTTTATATGATGCAGTGATGTTGATACCATGGTGAACCACTAAACTTGGATATTCAGAATTTCCTGATTTACATGTAAGGCTTCGATTTATGGTTAGTGTTTGCATTTTGCAGACAAGTGGCAATTTGGTTTGAGGAGAGTTGACAAATCTTTCATAGGAAATGAATTGCAACAAGTCATCTAAAGTGAGCTCGATAGGGAACTGGCTTCAATGCAGAGACTTCATAGAAGGCAGCAAAGGAACCATTGCGGAAAGTGGCGCAGGTATAGTCTACTTGCTTTGATATTTTTCTTCTTCCTTTCCATTTATGTTAGTTTAAAGTCGATATTTTCTAAAACTCATGGCACTTATTTCTAGGGTATCGTAATCAGTTTATTTGTGATTAAGTTATGGATGTTTAATTTTAAAACTTAAAATGATATCAGTTTATGTCTAAAAATTTGAATGCTGAACAAAGGACCATATCCTGAACTAAACATGTTATTACGATACTGTTGATCCTCTAGTAGCAAACGACAAACAATAAAAGGATATCTGCCATATATCACCTCCTTTCCCTTATTGTGTGCTTAACGGTTGTAGATGAAATTGTTTCTCATAGTAAATTTGAAAATTGAGGAGATAACTGGTCAGGCTACATGCCTAAGATATTGTTGATGATGATAATTGTAGAGAGATCTTTAAGTGTTCTGAAAAGCTGGAAGAATACAGTTCAAAATTTTCAATTTACAAAGAATGAACTCAAAGAATAAACTCCTGCAACAGGTTAGATTGTTCCCTTGACATCAGATTAACAGATACACAGGATCTGTATTTGATTAATTATTTATGGTATTTCCGGATAAAAGGCTCCTAGTGGTCGGAGGGGTGAAACAGAAATTCAAGGTGGAATAAAATGAAATTTTATTGAATCAAATTTCTTGGACAACTGTTATATGATTAAGTGGTTATTAATTCATTATTTACGTTGTTTTGGGCTTGCCTTAATCTCTAGAATCACAGCACTCGAGATTCTTGCATAGAACTTCATATGAATTCAGGATAGTTTTGAACCTTGTAGTGCCACATTTCATATCCTGTGCAGTTGAGGCCTCGACTATCAGCTAAACGGAGGAACAACACTACAAAACGGCGAGGATAAAATGAGAAATGCAAAACGTTATGTCGCTTGGTAGAGTTACATTTGTACGGAATCTGTACATCTAACCTTCACAAGATCTTGTACATTAAGAGTCATTACAAAACCAATGATCTCAGTTTTGCAATTAGATAAATCTTCTTATAGCAGTTAAACCCGCTTCCTATTGTATTGTATTGGAGAATATCATCAATCAAGAGTAGTGTTTTGGATTGTCTTCATGCTTCAAATTGTTGTTCTATATATATAGTTTGCATTGGTTATGATACATGCACATACACACTTACCTCTTTAAAATAGAAGCTGAAAACATTAATTGATGAACATGTCATACAAAAGGGCATAACATGATCTCATATAACATCATTTTTTAATATATGTATGTATATATTTACCTGTTTATAATTGAAATCCTATTGGATATTTCTCTAAGGCTTTACTATCCATTTCAATAGAACCCTCATTGACTTCGTTGGTTTCCCTCTTGTAGACATATATGCTTGATGCCCAAAGGAAGGCCCCTAAGTTAAGGGTTGATATGACCAAAAGGAATCTATAGTAATCTAGATGAGAGTCATTCAAGTTGTCTCCAATCCAGCTTTTGTTATTACCTCTGCTTGTAATTTTATCCACCACTATTACTAAAAAGTTGTTCAAAAAGTTCTCGATTCCGATACCACTGGAAAAAAAGGTCGTCCCCAGGCTTTGCATGTCTTCCGGTGATTGATTGTAGAAAAATTCCAGCAGTCCAATGGCATTGAACACATCAGCAATCCCCAACAGGACATACTGAGGCAACAGGCAGAATATGTTCATGGGAACTATTTCTTTAGGCCCTATGATTTGGTGCACTCTAATGACATGCAGCCTTAGAACCTCGACAACATATGAAATAGCAATGGCGATGATCTGGATGAAGAATCCAATGCCAATCCTTTGAAGGAGGGTTGCCCCTCTATGGTTTTTGGTGGTTTAGGGTTTTTATGTAAAAGAAAGTCAAAAAGAAGTTGGTTAGCTACTCCGGTGGCTCCGTGTAGCACCCGGATAGGTTGACTGTGTGTCGTACTAGTCTAGGGTGTTACAGACTAAACTGCTCATCTTTATTCTCTCACATTCTCTAAGGTCATGAGTTCTATCTAGTACGAGCACTCCCTTTCCTTTCCATCCCTACTGGGTGTCATAGACATAACATCTCAGCCTTGACATTACGCCGTGTGTCACTTAAATGGACAAATCCCATACAAGTCATCATTTTCCTTAATGAAATGTGCCTCAGATTATCCCGTTATAAAGCCATGCTATACTTAACAAGATTCATTCCCTCGGTTCATTAGCCAATCCCACATCAACATGTCCAAATAAACAAGCCTCGTAGTAGTCCACGAGCCACAATATAATCCCAAAGTCACCAAGTACTCTTGGAAGAGAGATCACGCAGGAAATATCTAATGTTACGTTGCAACCTCACTCCTCAACCAAGAGCGTGATAAGGGACACACATGCCCTAAATCGTTCCTAGGTATAATCCTAGAGAGACATTGTACCATCCACTTGGTTCCAATTTCCGCACCTAAGGTCCACATGAATCTAGGAGAAGGTCGTTTACACCATGTAGCTCCACACGCTAGCTCAGGATAAGGGGATGATAGAGACCCAACACCATATCACTTCCTCCTAGGGGGCTATGTTGGTAAAATAAACTGCAAACGAGTTAGCAATGACTGGAAAATATTAAATAAAATAATCAATCAGAATGATAACTGTGTCGTGGTAAAAAACCACTGCCTTAGAAACAAATTCGCCCCGATGTGTGTAATCGCTATAGTAGGCGGACTGTTCCCCCGAGGTTAACACACTCTCCAAGAATTTGTACACCCGAAAACTGGAGTGAACTTGGTGGTATTGCTCTTCTCTCAACTCAAACAACACTCTTAAGATAGGAGTATTTCAAAACAAATGTTTGCTTGGGATGATACTAAATGAATGGAATTGCTCACTATTTATAGGCTAAATATTGAGGGTAAAATTGTCATTTCCAATACTAGTGGAAATACCTAATTTTGAGCATATATTAATGGAATAACCTAACTAGCATATTTCCAATTTTCAATTGAGCATTATCAACACTAGTGAATAACCTAATTTGAGCATATATAGTGGAATAACATAACTAGCATATTTCCAATATTTGAGCATTATCAATATTCCCCCACTAATGCGAAAGAATTCTTTTGTAAAGATGAGAGCAATGAAGTTAAAACATGAGAAGAGCAATAGCGAGATTAGTTGATTAAGCACTAGTGAATGTATCTGGAACTAGTACATAGTGATGATGAGTAATCCTTCTATTGGATAAGTGAAACTAGTCTTGAACTTTCTAAGATTGGGGTAAACTCATAACACGCAACTAACCTCTTCATCCACTAAAGTTCTCGATGTGTCTACAAAGAATATATACAAAAGCGTATATATGTTTAGCCCTTTTTCCTCAGGATTCTAATAAGTGTACTAGAAAAATGGCCCAACGTTTTTCATAGAAGGTGGCTAATCCTTTTCACTTACATAGGTTATTTCATCAAGTTTATCTCAACATAAACCACTCAAACTGAGCTATGAAATAATTAAGAGCTTTTATAATAACTCAACCTTACAAAGGGTATGGTGACTTTCTTCAAGTTCATTAAAAATGAACGACCCAAACTCTGGGACAAGAAGTCATTAAGAATAAATATTCAACCTCATAATTCGGTGAATTCAATATGTCATTCTCACTAGGAACTCCTATTCAATATGTTCTTCTCACTAGGAACTCCCAAACTCTTGGGTTTGAATTCATTAAGATCTTAATAAAACTCATCCTCTCAAGCGGTAAGTTCATCCAGTCTTTCGCGATTAGAACTACCCACTCAACTCTGGGTTATGAACTTATTAAGAATAGATATTCAGCCAAAATTGGTAAATTCATCAAGTCTTTCTCACTAAGACCACCCAAATCCTGGGCTATGAATTTATTAAGAGCAACTAAGCTCATCATGGGTATGCACATTATTCATCATAGGGATAGGCAGTAGGAATGTGCACTATGAGTCTTTCCATGGTTTCGTTTGACCACATAGAACTTAGATAACTAAGTTGGGTATCCACCATGAATTCCTCAACCAATGGGCTTTAGACCCATCCCCCTCGACGAATCTAGGACCAAGGATCTGCTAGGTTCCTTTCCGACTTCACATACTCTAAAGAGAGCACTCTGTTCTTTATTAAGTGTATAACTGATTCATGCCTTATGCAAATGTGTATTTTCTTACCATTGTACACATATCGCAGTTTATGAATCACACAACAAATAAATCGAAGGAATCGATCTTCCCCACAACGGAATATCTGCTAATAAACTTCTGAGCCACTCGGCTTCTTGCCCAGTTAGGTCAAGAGCTATAAACTCTAAATTCATGGTAAAATGAGCAATATAAGTCTGCTTTGATGATTTCCATGAAATTGATGCTTCACCTAAAGTAAAAACATACCCACTCGTAGAGCTTACCTTATCATTATCAGAAACTCATTGGTATCACAATATCCTTCCAGTACCACGGGATAGCCAACAAATTCAAGTTTCCAATCCAACATACCCTTAAGATACTTCAGTAAGTGTCTAAGAGCAATCCAGTGTTCACCACTCGGATTATGAGTATATCTACTTAGTCTACTAACAACATAAGCAATATCAGGCCGATTATAGTTCATTAAGAACATTAAGCTTCCAAATTTAGCATATTCTGTTTGGGAAATACTTCCTTTATTCTTAAAGAGATATATGCTAGGGTCACAAGAGTTCAAACAGAGACAACATCAAAACTGTCAAATTTCTTTAACACTTTCTCAGATAGTGTGTTTGATCTAAAGGAATCCTTTTTCAGTTTTGATAATTTGACTTATAAGATTACATTGACTTCTCCCAAATTCGTTATCTCAAATTTAGTAGACAAAACTGTTGTTTTGTTAATCTCAATGTTAGAACTGAAAATCAACATGTCATCGACATACAAAACTTATGATGACGTAATCAGTACCAAACCCGAATACACGCAAGCATTCGAACCATTCACAACAAAACCAAAACTAAGTATAGTTTTATGAAATTTCTTGTACCATTGTTCTCATATAGATCTCCTCATCTAGATCTCCATTCAGAAATGCATTCTTAACATCTATTTGATGTACTCACAACTTATGAATGGAGGCTAGTGCAAATAATGCAGGATCGTTGAGATGTTCATAACGGGGAAGTAAGAATCAAATATTCTAAAACAAACTTGTGAGTGAACCCTTTGACAACTAGCCTTGCCTTGTACCACTGGATCAAACCATCTGGTCTCATTTTCTTCCGGAAGATTCATTTGCTATAGATAGGTTTAAATCCTCTAGGCAAGTCAACTAATCCCAAGTATGATTAGACATTATCGATTTTAGTTCATCATTAATAGTGCTTTTCTAGAACTAGTATCGATAGATCTTATAGCCTTTTTAAGATCCTCATATAATATTTAAGCTATATGATCAGAAAGAGAGTCTAAATCATTTATCTCAGAAATAAAGAAAGTGATAAAATTTGGTCCAAATAGCCTTTTACTTCTTCTAGTCTCGAAATCAATTTCTTGAGAAGACCTAGCAGAAATACTAGAAGAAGTTGATAGAATATTTTCTATTTAAGTTTATGCATTTAATCCACATTTCTAACATTTTAGGATATCCATAAGTATCTTGTAAAACGTGTAAACAAATACTCAATCATACAAGAGTAAAGTTTGTTATGAGTTTTAGCCATAAAACTATTTTAACAAACTCAAGTTTTGTTTACACATAATTATATTCTCAAAGTTTTGAGAAGTTACAAATCATTAAGATTAAAATGCATAAACCATTATGAAAAAGATATCTCTTTTCTTCCTCTACTTAGGAAAATCACTTAGAGATTTAATAGCTACAACACACTCTTAGTAGCTATAGTGTCTATCATATTTTCATTCGTGGTATTCAACATATTAGCCTTAAAGAGATCATCATATATTTTATTTACTATGACTAAATTTGGTATTCCACTCAACCAAATTAATCTCTACTCTTTTAACTTCTGCACTAAGTTTTAAGAGTTTGTATCTTGTCATAGTATTTGAATAGTGAGCATAGTAATGAACAATGCACCAGGTAGGTTTCTATGAAGAGAGGTGGTGCACTAGGCGGTTAAGTACCAAGTCTTCATAGAACCAATCCTAGACATGCACTTTCATACTACTTTCCAATAAATCATTTGTGAATTTTCTCTTTCTTTAAATACGATCTCTTTAAAGAATTATGCTTGATACTTTTACTCATAATAGTATCTTATTATGCATATATATTTTTGGGCTCACACTACTACCTTAGCCTTAGTAGTACTACCTTAGTCTTTACTAGTGGTTTTATCTCATTTCATAGTATCCACTGAGTTTTAAAGACTATCTTAAAGGCTCATGCAATCTAATTCATGTATTTAAAAAAAACATGAATTAACATATAACAAGTCTAAATAATCTGACCTCGCATATAGAGTCATAATTTCCAAATAGACTTATTCATTCTCACCATGCATGCTACTTCAGCCTTTGCATTATCATTTTTAATCAGCATGATCCCAAAATCCATCGTGACAATCTCTTCATCTGAACCATCATCTCTTTTAAATCTTCTGAAGTCAAATGAAGAATATACATGGTTAGTCACGAAATTAATTTACTAACAATAATTTGACTGTGACAAGATCCTTATCTTTAGGATTTTGGTTTCTTATCTTCAGTAGATTGTGAAAATCAAACCCGAATTTAACAACTATTCGGTTTGAAGAATCTTCTCGTTCAACATCATCATCTTCTTGATTCTCTAAAATTGCAACCATCCTGTTGTCTTTATAAATTTCTCAAAGGAATTATTAGTATGATAAAATAGTTTATATTTATTTTCAACTTAATATTCAGAAACTAAAAATCTTACCCCATATGAAAATAAATAGTTACTCTTCTCCACATATCAACTATCATACATACAAATTAAAACTTTTGTCATTCGACCGTTCCAATGTTTTGAATAACATATCCCCAAATATTTATAAGCTTTTAATAAATATTTTCCATAACCATTTGGCCTTTTACAATTAAAAATGGTTATTAATCTTTGATTAATCTAACCATTAAAATTGTTCTTCAATTCAATAAACCATATTAAAACCAATGTTTTCATGGCCATTATAAAAGAGAAATAACCTCAGTGACCAAAAATCCCATATAATATACGATTTTAACCAACTTTTTCCGGATTTGCCAAAATGACCAACAAAATCGCAATGCGATCGCTAATTCGCAACGCGATCTCCATTATCGCAAATTCGCGTTGCATTTCGCGTTACGATAGTTGGAAATCGCGTTGCGATGGTATACAGTGTCGTTGCGATTTTCCCAATTCGCAATGCGAATAAGTAAATCGCAACGCGAATTGGGAAAATCGCAATGCGATACTTACTATCGCAATGCGATAATACAAAATCGCAACGAGATACTGACTTTCGCAACGCGATTCTGACTTTCGCAACGCGATTTACATAGCGCCATTCGTATTAACGCGTATTTTTTTTTAAATTCCAAACACGAATTTTTTCTTAATAAATCGGAAACTGAACCGTCCACAGTAATCGCAACTCATAACCTCAAACCCAAAATCACAACACTCAGTCCCATCTCCATCTCTCACTCTCTACGGCGAAATCCGTCCCCATCTCCGAAGATTTCTGTCCCCATCGCCGGCGAAATCCCTCACAACCATTCACAGTCAAAATCCCTCACAATCATTCAGAAATGAAAATCAACCTCCGAGGGTTAGTTTTTTTTATTTTTATTTTGAAATTTTTGCATTATTTTAGGTTTTTCATATTGAGATTGATGATAAGTTTACTGGTAATTTCAATAATAGATTAACCATTTCACTTAGATTTCTTATTAAATTCATTCGATTGTTGCCAATACTGCTAAACTGTTTAGCCTGTGAAGTTAGTATTTGTCTTTTTTTGTCTTTTGGTTGAAGTAATGCAGAAGAAGAACAGTTTCGAGAATGAAAATCGCAACACGGAAATAACTATCGCAAGAGAGAATCGCAACGCAAATAAAAAAACGCAATCGAAACAAAAATCGCATTGCGATTTTCATTTCGCGTTGCGATTTTCATTTCGCGTTGCGATTTTTATTTCGCGGTTGCGATTTTCATTTCGCGTTGCGATTGTCTGGTCGCGATAGTCATTTCGCGTTGCGATTCTTTCGTTGCGATTCTATCATTGCGATAGTCATTTCCGCGTTGCAATTCTCATTATCTCGTTGCGATTTTCATTTCAACCAAAAGACAAAACAGTGTTGCAAATTTTAGTTTCAAGAATACTACTATTTATGTTTATTGTTTTGTTTTTGGTATATCTTGACAGTGTAGTTTTTGGTATATCTAACTTGGTATGTTTATTGTTTTTTTGTAGAAATTTTTTTCGGCTTCATTGACATTAAGGAATAAAGTTAGCCTAGCCACTACAATTGCTTCGAAGCTTTCACCTGCACAAAGAAAATTGTTTGAAGAAACCTGCTTCGGGCCATGGCTGAGAGTACAGCATCCGGGTGGAGATGCTAGTTTGACCCATTTGTGGCTTCAGACCATGACTAGCGATCTACCCGACAGTATACAACGTGGTGAGGAAGAGATCTGGTTTCATTTTCCACCGCGTATACTTGTTTTGGGCGGAAGGAGTTCTGCTTAATCACTGGTCTACGATTCGGACACGATGATGTAGGCCGTACACTCGTCATATCACCCGCCCATCATGGTTATCAGGTTTTTCCTGATGATCAATAGAGAAGCCGAACTTACACGTCGACGACATGAAGAAATTGTTTAATAAGAAAGATGGTTTTACTCAGATGAATGACGTCGATGTTGTCCGAGTATGCCTTCTACTACTTTTGTATGCCGGCTTTTTAGGCAGAGAGGCCAGACAACCTATTCCTCAGGAGCTAATATTATTGGTAGAGGACCTAAATGCATGGAATCTGTTTCCGTGGGGTTCGTATATATGGAAAGCTACCTGGACTAAGTTGTCGTCTGCCTTTGATGACCGCAAAAGTTTGCGGGGCGATGGATCGAAATACACTTTGTCAGGCTTTGTTTGGGCCTTTAAGGTAAGAATTTCTATATAATGTTTTCAAAATTATAATTAATTATTAACAATTACTAATGTTTGTTATTATATTGTTTGTAGATTTGGATATTCGAGGCCTTTCCCGCCATGAAGACATATGCAATAAAACTTCAAATGATATTCCCAGGGCTATTTCCTGGAAGAGGAAACGTCTGTTGGATTGGGAAGACTTAATACCATATGCGACAATAAATAATGTAAGTTAACACAAATACTATCATATATAAACAAGTTATTAATAGTAGACGTTTAACTTTGTTTGAGTTTTTATATTTTTAGGAGGCCAACATTCCATTAATGAGACTGACACCCACGGAGGCTGAGCTTGCCACTGATTGTGGCAAGCTAGTCAGCGTTTTCTTGATGGCACGAATGATGAGCAGCCTCCACTTCTCCACTTCGAGAGCCATCACCTCACCTAGAGCCATCACCTGATCGACCCGACTATACACCTCTACAACGAGAGCCATCACCTATCCCGTCACATCATCGAGCCTCTTCTCCACCATCACCTCATGATAGGCGACCGCAAAGATGCCACGACTTCTATCTCCCTATTCTCCACCTCCACGGGATGAGTCAAGGGAGTTACGTGATGAGGTCAATGCCTTGCGTGAGGAGATCGGTACTCTACTTGATAACGATGGTGCATGGCGTGTGGAGGTGTCTACTTTACATGGTGAGGTTGCCGCTCTACGTGAGATGGTAGTATCGTTGCAGAATGAGGTTCATACTCTACGCAACGAGGTAAGTTTAAGATTTTCCATATTTAACTTGATGATAAATTTACTCGTAATTTCACTTAAATTAATCATTTCACTTAGATTGCTTAGTAAATTTATTCGTTGCTGCCAAAACTGCTAAACTTTTTACTTTAACACTGTGAAGTTAGTATTTGTCTTTGTTTTGTCTTTTGGTTGAAAGTTTGAAATATATTTATCTTTGTTTCACTGTTTAAATATCATGTATGTTTATTTACTGATATTTGTATTTAATTATTTAGCGGACCGATAAGGTGGATGCTTTACGTCGGGTTTTTCTTGCACGACAGAGTTCACGCATCAGACGGCGTGCACGTGCTATTAAGTCTCCGTATACCCCAATAGTGCGAAGACACCGCAAGAAGAAGCCGACTCGCCTGTCATCCCTCAAGAGTCCACTCCTATCGTTGAAGAGGCCCCTATCATTCCTCGAGAGTCCCCTCCCACCGTTCAAGAGGCCACTGTCATCGTTGAAGAGGTCCCTCCCACCATTCAAGAGCCCGATTCACATGGCGTCATATGTAGGATTCTTGAGAAACCCTCTAACGTGCCGACATGATGGATTCAAGTTGGCTCTCGTATGAGTTACCGGCCAGTACCATACCGGTATCTGAAGAGGAGAGAAACAACTACCGACACAATTCTGGATAACACCCTTGGGCTAAGACCGCAGTTGATTTTTATCTACATGAGCGAAGCCATGGGTGTTTCACTGACATATGCAAGCTCAATGATGATATCTATTTGTTGCTTGATCGGTCTTGGTGGGGCGTATTATTAGGGGTCGAAGACAATGGCTATTTCGATGGAGGGGTAAGTCTTATATTTTTCTTATATTTTCATTTGATTATTTTTTTGTAAATTTATGTAAGTTACTAATATATGTCTTTTTTTGTAAAACAGCATATCGATGTGTGGGTGTCACGTCTTCTAATAATTAGGAAACTTAAGGAAAATAAAAGAAATACACGATATACAATTATGCCGACGTCTTTTAACGCCGTTCACTTGAAGAATCAACGAGATGAATCATTTGGGTTGGGCAATGGACAAATAAACTTTATCCTGCATGGTGGGAGGTCGATAAGGTTAGTGTTTATTTTAGATTGAGTTTAAAGGTATTCATAAATAAGTGCGCAAATGAATGAATTATTACTTATGATTGTAGGTGTTTATCCCTGTTTTGGAACGTAACCATTGGCTTCTCATCGAGCTTCAGATCCCATCCCTTAAGGCAATAGTATATGACAGCATGATAAATTACATATCATTGGCTGATTTAAGAGATATTATTAAGGGATGGAGCTCTTATTTGGCTAAATTCTTGGATGCGATAAATTATTGGACTCGTTCTGGAAACAAGAAGCCAAAGAAGCTCAATATTACAGTTAGCAGAGACGAGACCGCACCACAACAAACGAAAGACCCAGAGGGGATTGTGGTCCTCTCGTATGCTTGGCGTTGGACCGTTTGATCACAGGAAGTATAAAGTATCTACCTCCCACCGATATAGATAGAGTTGCAGTAGGCTTGTGGTTTCGACATTATATGGCTAGATCGATATATACGAGACGCTGCCTACCTGCATCCGCGTTATAAAAATGTCCATAAACAATTGGTATGTTTATAGGCTTGTGGTTTGAAAATGTTTGGTTAAGTACCTAGAATTCAATAATTTGCTGTTTGTAGGTTTTAGATGTGTAGAAAGTGTTGTTTGAGCAAATGTTTGGTTTATGCAGGTTAATCTCAGAAGTGAGCTGCGTGAAAATGATGTATGGCTGCAAAAGTTGATTCAATAGTAGAAGTGTTATTTTCTCTAATAATTATTGCTTATTTTTTGATTGTTTAATTGATTTGTAAAAGGTGATTTGTAAAAGTTGATTTGTTTAATTGATGTTAACATAATTC